TCCTCGAGTATCGCGAGCGAAGCTCTTCGCGCCGTTTGATAAAGGTTGTTGGCCAGTTCTTGCTGACAGTAGGCGGAGGGTGGCTACCGCGTGCAGCTAGTAGGATATCAGCCATCTCTCGTACAGTAGCTTGCCTAGGCGCTGCTCCACGTGAATCCATAGAGATAATCCATTGGCAAAGCGAATCCTCTTCTAATTGGGTCAATTTATGACCAGATGGGCGCGTATCAACGCGTGAGGCCTGGCCGCTGGCGCGGTGTTGGAGTGTAGTGCGAGGTATATCGTATAGCTTAGCTGCCGCGCGAATAGAACTAACACGGCCTTCTTGCAAATCAGATAGGGCTAATAGGATCTTGCCCTCTTGGCTGGCTAATTTCTGCCGAGATCTAGGTCGAATTGGTGGTATGGTAGGTGGTTGAAGTTGGTAGGTAGCTAGAAATACGCGATTTTAGATGGGGTGGCCCGATCGGCCGGGTGGCCCGATCGGCCAGGAAATACGTTAACCTGTCTGCTTGAATAAATTAACTTCGGATAAGCCCTTGTCTATGTTTATCCCCTATAAGTCTAGGGGCGAATTTGTTCTTCTACATTCCAGCAGTTTAACCGACTTACTAACCATTTAGCGTATAGGAGATATGCAATTTATGTGTTTATTTCAGTGCACGTTCCTCTATATAGGAGGCTCTCAGCCAAAACAAATGAACAGGGGTAAAAGAAGGTTCGACCAACCGTGACCAATGCTTTAGCGCTGTTGGTGATAGAGATGCAGCGCACTTTATTAGATCGTTTGCAGCCCGTGATCGGACTAACTCGAGCACAGTCAAAATTATCTAATGAGAAGTCACGGCCCTGGTCGGATTGTTCGTAGTCACGGGTGGATATACAGGGATCCTCTAACAAACTCCAAATCACTAGATCCACAATTAGATTACGAGCCACGGTAGGAACTCCTTCTGGCTGTGGAGTATAAGCAGTAGGTAATATAAACCAGCGCAATTGTCTAGCTAGGGCGCGTGTAGGCGCTACTCCGAGATAAACTGGTATGGACGGTTCTTTACTCCGCGGCGATCTTCCTAGGGGTTCTCTTCCCCGCCTTCCAGCTCTAGCGTTGGGTATTCCTCTCCAATTCGGATCATGGCAGCTAACACTATCGACTAGGTGACCACTCAAAGGTGGATATCACAGAAATATGGCTGTATTCGTTCTATCAGCGTTTTGCACACCTAAGTGAGCTTATACTCAGTGGACCCTACTAGGCGCGGTCGTACCGCTAGAAAATAACTAACGAATAAATTGTGGCTATCGGCCTCGATTGAGGTTTCGGACGGTATGAAAATACATAATTACTCGACAGTAGCTGACAAATGATGAGATACAAGGGTTACTAGCTAACGAATGTGGGTACAGTACGTCCCGAAACTGGTGCAACCTCATACACTCTTCGAGTGATTCTCTGGCCCCACCGCCAAGAGGCACTAGTCCATATTAGGAATATACCCGGAATATCAATATTCCTGTATCAGTCTCAGTACCATGACTTACTCTCATTAAAATACGATGCTTTGTCTCGTAACTATGCAGTAGTTTTCGAAATCGGTTATACCTCCAGACTCTTACAGTACTGTACTCTTAAAATATGACTGTAAATCCAGTACAGTATCATGAAACACAGGGGGGCCGTGAGCTTCAGGGAAGGGCGAGCCTCCACCCCAGTCGGCATTACTCTTGAAGCAGGCCTTGACTATTCACACTGCGATCAGTCCTTCGTAATCAATATCTTGACAGTCTTGTCTACATGCCGAAATACCATAGCTGGCCGAAATCAATTTGAAAGATTGCTTCCAGGGAAAGTCATTTCTCTTGGAACCTGAGAGACCAATCTCCTATACTAGTTAGTCTGTTTCATATTCGTGAAGCCTTTTTATCTATATTGTATGGATGTAACTGCAATTGCCGCTTAGTAGAGAACCTGAAACAAAATTAATGAATACTCAAGAACCAGGGCAAGTGTACCCCGGATAACATGGCAAGCTCTCATCCAGAGTTACTATGATGCATCCATGGTCGTATTCTCGTGTTTTCTGTATAAATATCTTTACTTCCCTAGCTGAGTTCCCTACTTGCTCTCAGTTTCATTTCCTTCCAACATAACCACGCTCTTCGCTCCTGCTTTTCTTTTCTCTCAAGAATACCTGCCTCATTCATCATGTTGCACCCCGTTGCATTCCTAGCATTGATTGCTGTTGCTCAAGGACACACAGTCGCTTGGGTCAAAGGCATGTACTGCCTAGGAGGTCCCGACCTTTCGACAGACAACGCGAATACAAACACAGCCGTGGGTCCCCTATACAATCTCACCCTTGAAAAATGGTGGTTCCAACACGATCGCGGCTGTGACGCAGCACCTCCAGCGCATGGCGACATTCTGCAACTTCCAGCTGGAGAAACGTTCACGGTGGAACTTGCACACAACCGCGCGCAGACTACGCTTTCATACGATGGAAAGTATACCTCTGAATGGCCGGACGGGAAAGAGCACCCCGAAGACTGGGCTGCTCCTGGAAGCCCCGCCGACTGCATTCAGGACGATGGAGCAATGCATACCAACAACCAATCCATGGCCGCTGGCACTGCGTTTGCCATCAGCTATCAGTCTGACCTGGCTGCGGTAACAATGGAGAACTTGGCTGTGTTTACAGTTTTGGAACAGTGAGTTCTTTTCTGAAGCTTTCTGCACTATAGATTCCTGGGTTCCTAATATATGTGTAAAGCACCCCGTGGAAACGGGTTGCTACCTATGAAGTGCCCAAGGATCTTCCTGCTTGTCCTCCTGGTGGATGCACCTGTGCTTGGCTCTGGGTAAGTGTATGAATATTCAGCCAGGTTTTACTCAACTGACACCAGATAGGTCCCGAACGGTTGTGGACAGCCCAACATGTAAGTGTCCATAAACTAGTTCTAGTCCGTTAACTGACAAGGGAACCAGGTACATGGCAGGTTATAAATGCAATGTCACTGGGTCTACCTCCTCTAAAAATGTCGCCGCCGCTCAAGTTGCTGCTTATTGTGCGGATGATACCAGCAAGTGTGTTAAGGGTGCTAAGCAAATGATTGCCTTCAACCGTGAGTCAGTCATTCTCCCAGACGGTATGCCTAGAAGTAACTTGAAATCATAGAGCAAACTGGGAATAACGTTCAAGTCCCCGATGGCAAGACACCGATGTACAACACGGCGTGGGGTTGGGAAAATGGTATGTCTTCATCTACTACAACCTTACAATGAGAACTAATTTGCTAATAATAAATCGCTCGCGAAAGGCGCGCAAAATGACATTTTTGTTTAAACAAGGCCTGGGTTCGAACAAACTGCTATTGATCGAGCAAATGGACTGTGCATTCGAAAGAATACGCCAGTGTATTCCATTGGGCTTCATCATCTAATTAAAGAGGGATTCGAAGATCAATCAAGAGATCCGAGGAGACGGACGTATAGTATAAAATAAGCGATAGTATTGGTTACCTCTGTAGAACAGATAAGGGCTACAGAACCAAAATCACTGTTAAGCATGAAGCGGAGGGAAAGAAAACCAAAAGACAAAAGTATAGGGTCAGGAGACATAATAAGCTCCGCTTCTTAGTCCTTTTTTGGAGTCTCTAAGCCTCCTCTCAAACGTAGCATGTAACCTCCGTCTATTGTGGCCCTATATCCACACGGGAGGAGCCTAGGAACTCAAATAAACACGGCAACTATTGAATCATGCAAAGGTCAGCTTAGCTACGAATCGCCTATGGAACGTAAAATAATAGCTTCTCTCCCCGTTTCAGACGCCAATAGTTCGTAGATCGAAACAGATCCCAACAGTGTGGACCGCTAAGCCCCAGGCAGACATGAAAGAGCGTGTTACCTCCCAGCCGTTCGGATCCCAAGGGTCTTTCCAGACTAATATTCCCGCAGTTCCTTCCATCGAGTTGCATAGGTCTTCACAGAGCCCGTATTCGTCCACGAATGGTTCGAGGACAATCAAATTATCGCGCATTTGGGGGCTAGGGAATAGATCAAGCCACCGGTGATGTGGAGTCGAGAGCTGGAGCGCAGTAGGCTGCAAGCTAAAGGGGAGAGACATCACTTCATTGCCGGCCAGTGAGGGGCCAGCGATACAGAAAGGAGACAACGATTCGTCATGCATCAGGATCGATTGATATCCCAGGATTTCAATATTATATATCAGAGCCCGAGTCAAATTTAGTTGAGTGAGGCCTAGAAGAAGTTCCGTGCGGGGCGAATCGGTCAAGTAGTGGTCATGACATATGCATTCTAACTGACGAAGGACCCATTTTGTCTCTTCCGAATGAATCCCAAGGTTGTAAAGGTTCCTCAGACATGCAAAGTCGGTCAAGCAGTCGCCGATAACCGTTATCAGTGCTGTTGTCGGTGGGTCATAGTTGTCCAGGTTTTCCGCGGCACAGCGCCGGCGCTGACCTGGATGGGAGGAGTTAGATACCGCTATTGATAGGGGAAGGATGGATTTGCGACTCTCTCTCTTGATCAAACGATTCTGCATTCTCTTCCTTATTTTCGGATCGGAAATCCCGGTCCAATCATCCCCCGGCCGAAATGAAACCTGTAGGGGGATACCATGTGGAGGCGATACTTGTGGAGGGACATAGGTAGATAAATTGAGCTGAAGATCCATTTCCCTATTCAACAAGTAGAGTGCATGCCTAGAGGCGAAAAGTAACATCGGATATGGTGAAAGCGCGCAGGAAATAGCGAGTTGTCACTCTTGATGACATCGTTCTAACCGCTTTGGGGAAGCCCCACAGCTTCGGACTTTTTGAGTGTGCGGCTGACAAAAAGGCGGAAGAGGCCATTCTAGATTATGAGAACCATGGATAAGAATATAGAGCTGTCACCCAGCTGCATTAGCGCAACCTTAAATAGAGGTAATATGACCATCGACCCATCTTTATTTATTCTGAATGTGGTGAGTCCAACTCTACTCCACTTGCGGTGAGGCAATATTTCCTGATTCGCGAGAAATCACCCTGCAGCTCGCCTCGAGTACCACGAAAGCCCTCGCTCTGTCCAAAGCATCCCTTCGTTCTTCTCTCTGAATATATAAAGCGGGTTAGTTAACACTCATCTGTTCTCGGCAAAAAACCTAAAGTCTTCTACGCTGTGTCAGAACCTACTTCCCTATACTTTTACTTCACCTAAGCTGCCATTATGACATCTCGATACGCTGCAGCTTATGCTCATCCAAGTGGCCCCGGGGATGAGCGCCCGACAGCTGAACAGATTGTCCGAGATGAAGGTCTCATTGGAAAATGGATGGACAAGGTGATCTTGATCACAGGTTGCTCTTCGGGTATCGGAGTCGAGACTGCCAAAGCGTTGTCGATGACCGGCGCGAAACTATATCTAACAGCACGAAATCTCGAAAAGTTAAAGAAAGCTATTGGGGAACTTGCAGTGTCTCCAAATGTCCACCTTCTTCAGCTTGACCAGGAGTCTCTTGAGAGCGTTCGGAACTGTGCTTCAGCGTTTCTGGCTCAGAACAGCCGGTTGCACCTCTTGATTGCAAACGCGGGCGTTATGATGAGCCGCAAAGAGACCACGGAGGACGGGTTCGAGCTTCAGTTTGGAGTGAATCACCTATCACACTTCCTTTTGATCAACCTCTTGATGCCCGCTCTCCTCTCGGCATCCACGCTGTCATTCCAATCAAGAGTAGTTGTTCTTTCCTCGACTGGGCACAAATTCTCTTCGGTGAATTTCGAAGACATCAACTGCGACGGCAAGTTTGAGGCCATGCAGGCGTATGGGCAGAGCAAAACCGCGAATTTATGGACTGCAAACGAGATCGAGAGGCGCTATGGGTCTGAGGGACTCCACGCATTTAGCGTTCATCCGGGGGCAGTTACAACCAACCTGGGGCAGCACATGTCCGAGGAGGAGATCCAAGCCATAACTCAGGACCCAAAGCTTATGGCCAGCTACATTAACCCAGCCCAGGGTGCTGCTACTAGTGTATGGGCGGCTGTCTCGAAGGATCTCGAAGGTCAAGGGGGCAGGTACTTGGAAAACTGCCAGATTTCAACTGCGCATGATCCCGCAGGGGGAATCTGGGGACCAGGCTATGGTCCGCATGCATATGATGCCATCGGTGCCAAGAAGCTATGGGATGTCTCCCTGCAATATGTTTCACTCGAGTGAAAAATGCCTGTTCCGTTTTTTGGATTTAGCGAGAAAAAAAAAGCCTCCTGGGGCTGTAAGTAAACTTCCCAGCTGTAGAGTGCCTCCTGACCCGCAGCTGAAGGATCTCACAAAAGTGTTTTTGCTATTATGTTATCAATTCATGGAACTTAACGCCAGACTGCCATATAGCATTAAGAATGAGAGTTCTTCGTTCCGACGGGATGTCTTCTGTACTGTAAGTGGACCAAACGGTACAATATAGATGCGCCCACGAGAGCAGCTTATTGTAGTAAACCAGCTTTACCACGGCTTCTGAACACATCGTTTCTATTCGGTCGGAGTGGTGAAAGGATGCGTTGTCCATGACTAACACAGACTTTGACTGGGGCCACTTCCCACAATGCTGTAGAAGCTGCTCTATGAAATCCTCAAAGACGGATGCATCTGTTGAGCCTTAGAACACTCGAGACAGGGGCTGGCAGTATCTGATATCGCTGATCACGATGAAATTTACACACTTGAAATGGTGCCACGCCCAGTGGGAACCAACCCGTTCGTCTGAAGCCTACCCTCTTATCACATCCAGACTTATCCACATAGACAAGGTGGTAAGACTGAAAGTCTGAGAGATAGTGAAGGTATTCGTCACGAAGCTCTAGGTTGCGCTCTCGGGCCTTGACACGGGCAGCCTTTTTTGACCAGCCTTTGGATGCAAGGGCACGGCTGATGCTCGACTTCGTTGCATGAAGAGCGACTTCATCCCACAGAAAAATCGCCATTTCGTCGAGGTACAACGTGGGTTTTTCGAGCAGGTGATCGCACAAAGGCTCTAGCATGACTGGAGTGATGCTACGGGGTCGTCCGCCTTTATTAGGCGGTGCTTGGACGCTGCCGGACATCCGTATGTTCGGAAGAGATTCTCAGGATTGTACTCCTGTGGCAGCCAGCAGCCTCTGCCATCTGTGATGCAGATAGTTCCCCACTGTAGATCATGTCATAGATAAGCTCATGCTTTGAAGGGGTAGGTTTGGCCCATCTTGGTTCGACCACTCGCGATTGATGGTTAGAGATACCCCTCTCTCGGGACGTTTTCGAGGTGGGTATGGAGGTGTCGAATGTATTTAATTTACAAACGAATACATTCTCGAAAGTACAATGTAATCTACGTACGCAGCAATACACATACAACTAATAGGGATGCTCCGGAGAAACTCCCAATATAGACTAGTGTCTCTTGGCGGCAGGGCTAGAGAATCTCTCGAAGTGTTTAAGCGGTTGCACCGGTTTCGGGACGCACTGTACAATATCGATTCTCGATATTGATCCTAGGGCCCTGTACCTCGTGGTGACCAAGAGGCGGTTTTTTCATCTCGGTGCGAACGGGACTGTACGAAATAAGGCAGATACTGTACGAAATAAGGACAGTAGGGGTACCCCAATCCGGAGATTCCTCTTGAGTGGGACTGTATCGTGAGCGACGCGAGAAAGAAAAATGGCGGGACGGGCCGAGACGCGAACCCCTGAGCCGCCCGACCGCGACGAACACGAAGATTCACCCCCA